CTGTTGCTGTCGCTGCTGCTGCTGTTGTTGCTGCTGCTGCTACTGCTGCTGCTACTGCTGTTGTTGTCTTGCAATCATCACGATTGCACCAAAAATGGTCCCAACCGACCCCCCTGTATACCCTTTGTGCATTCCCATTGAATAATTGACTCGCAGCTTGGCCAACAAGCTTGCTCCGTCTATTATCTTCATCGACGAAATCGACTGCTTCATGAGGACCCGCAACGTCTTGGAGCAGGACCATGTTGTACGGGTGAAGACGGAGTTCATGACGCTGTGGGATGGCCTCCTGACAGGTGCGTCCTTTCATTTCATTCTGTTGATGAATTTGATTGTGTGTTTTGACAAGGGTGATTTGCTTCGCCTTCGCACAAGAACATCCTCATCGCCGAAAGTGTTGTAAAAAAGTGAAAACGCCTGCACCACCGCAAGCGTAGACCAGATTTAATACCAAAATGACAGGACGCCTTGTTGGAGTGGAAGCCTGCACCATGAGGCGCAAATGTGAATCATGACGTGAATGGGGCAGGCTCGTTCGGTAGTCCTCCCTTTTTTTGTGTTTTTTATCAAAAGCCGTGTCACTCCGCCGACTTCCCCTTCTCCCACCTCGAAACCCTCACTGCTTTCTCCCTCCCTGGAAAAGAACGATCCCGTCCGGTAATGGTCCTGGGCACCACGAACCGACCGCTCGAGATCGACCCCGCCATTCTACGGAGGCTTCCCAGGCAGTTCGTCGTCGGCCTGCCCGAGACCGCGGACCAGCGGGAGCAGATCCTCCAGCTTATCGCCAGGAGGTACAGGCTCTCGGACGGTGTGGACTTGGGCTGGGTTGCGGCGCAAACCGAGGGGTGAGGGCTTGGCCAAAGTGGTGCTACTTGTTGATTTGTTCTCTGGGGGATGGGGAGTTGGGACTTCGCTGCTGTGGTAAGCATTGGCGGGTGCCCCGTGACGCGTTTGTAGGTGTCCCCATCTATTCTGCACGCCAGTCAACCTACAACGTTCGGTATGTGTTTCATGCTCCATCTGGGGTCTCACAGGAGGAAGGTAACACACAGGACTTTTTTTTTATTTGTGGTGGATGTTTTGCCCGAAATAGGCAACTTCGAGAGGAACGCACCCCGTTCGCGGCAGCAGCTTTTGTTGGTTTTCCCAAAAGGGCGGTGCCGGGCATGTTGTGCTGTAGGCGCCACTACAAAGATGAGGAGCATTGACGCGATCTTCTTTGGATCTAACCATATTTATATATACAGTCATTGCGTCGGCGAAATGCAGGCCTGCAGAGTAGCTCATCAAACCCGACCTCTGCCCCGGTGTGAACGCCTCCTCCCTTCCCTTTTTTGCCTGGTCCCCTCTCATCGCTGGGTCCGGCGCCCCGCAGATTCTCCGGGAGCGATCTGGACGCGTTGTTCCAGGCGGCCCAAACGGTACCCGCTCGGGAGTTTGCCCGCGCTCTTCGGGAGAACGCGCGAGAGGAGCGCACGCAGGCGCAGGCCCGCGCTGACGCGGCGGCGGCGGCGGCGGCAGCAGCGGCGGAGGCAGAAGAGGCTACCGCGCGACGCGAGCACAGCAGTCGAACAACGCCCGCCGCGAATCTTGACGCGGCCGCCGTGCTCCGAGAGACGGTGGTGGATCTAGGCAGAAGGACCATGGGGGCGGCGAGGAATGTGGGGAGGATGGCGGCGGCGGCGGCCGAGGGCCACCCGCAAGGGGACGCCATCTTGAGGGCCATCCTGGGGCCGGCACGGCCATCGGCGGAGGAGGGGGGGGGCACGAGACCGGCGCTGCAGATGCGGGGGATCTCGCAGGATGACTTCCGCGCGGCGCTGGACAACGTGCGACCAACAGGCAAGTGGCGCTCGAAGCAAGGCTTGCTTGCGAGAAGCCTCACAGAGAAGTGCGTATTTGCGAAGGGTGGGCGTGCTTTTTTGCACGGCCGGGCGCCCCTGGCTTGCTCTTTGGCGTATGCCGTGCGAAACACACCGCTTGTTCTGTTTTTTTGTCGCTCATCGCACTTGAGGAATTAGCAGAATGCGCTGCTGCCGAATCTGTCTTCTTCCTCTGGACCTGTGACTGTGGTCATGTCGAGAAAAACTGTGAAAATGTAGATGTGTTCGCCATCATTTCGAAATGAGCAGGTCTTTTCGCAAGTGAAACCGCTGCAATGCACTATAAAAGATCTGTGACTATTCCTTGTCACGTGCTCCTCCACTGCTCTGCCCCTCCCCCAACAGGCGAAGCAGCAGCAGCCTTTGTAGCAGCTCGCATGGCAGCAGCAGCAGCAGATCGAGCGGAGCAAAGACGTACACAAGAGCAGTAGCATGGACGGATACCGTCTCACCTACACGTGAAACGTGTGGTTTAATTGCGGCTCGAAGACGTGTTATTTGCCATGCCATTCCCGACTCGCAAGAAGCCTTGCGTACAGCCTACGAGATGTTTTCCGAAATCGTTTGAAAAAGCCGTGTGGAACCGGACCCCTGTCTGAAACGCTGAGGGCCGATTCGTAGAATGCCGCGGAGCTACGGTGTTTGAACCCTCCCGGCCTTAGTCTCTCTTCGTTTTACGCCCCCCTTGCCTTGTTATTCTCATGGAGGAGGACGGCGGTAAAGGAGCGAGGGCGAAACGGGGAGCATTCTCCGTTGAAATCAGACAACCTACGTGCCAAAGGGCGAACGGAGTAGTGTACGCAGTAGTGTACGGGCCTTGTGTAAATGTGTGTGCCGACTTGGCATGTTCTCTTTTTTCAACTAGTGAGACGGTATTTTGTTTTCCCGTGGGAGGATGTTTGGAAGAGGCAGGGGCAGGTTTGCGACAAGCGCGTCGGTAGGCGTTGTGGTTCCGTTTAACCACATCATTTGTGGCCAGAGCACACACGACCTGGGACTGCAATGTACCAACTCATTCGTGTGGGGTTAGTCGGAAAACATCTGTAAGAGTCTTATAGAAAGGGAACGTGCTAAGGCCTTCCTGCCCGCGCGTTGTGCGCCCGTTGGTTGTACGTGTCTTACCTTGTAATCTTGGCGCGTCCCTGCCACAACCCTTTGCATTTGCCGACCGGAAACTCCCCGCCACTGAGGACAGGCTTGTTCTTTCGTGAAAGAAAAACACAAGCAGAGGGAGCACGCGCAGAGATTCAATAGCTGAGCCTGACGTCAATCACGACATATCAGCTGTGGTCTGGACTCAACTACATGGGCTTCATTCACATCATACGATGTGCCTGTAAGGGTCGCCATGATGACCACCATGGCGTCAACGCAAGCCACCGTGTGAACAGGTTGCCGCACTTGCATGACGGCAAACCACGCATGTGGTCTAGACGGCCGTATCGTGCATCCTTTCGTGCTTGGAACAACACTTTCTCAAGACGGAAATCATTCTCATCAGCCTTTCTCGCAGCCACTCCCTAGTTACTGCGGCCGCCCACTTGAGGTGTCATAAACCACGTGCCATCCTGTGGGGCACAGACCTAAGGCGTTGGTGCCACCACACTTGCTGGAACAAATTGCCCGGAGTTGTCTTGCGGCGTTCGCATCATCGGCAGAACTCGCCGAGCACACTACACGTACGTGCCACCCACCCCGGTCGCTCCGTGTTGTATCTCAAGTCCCTATATCTTACCTACACATTTCTCCGAACTACCGTTCGAACAAACGTGCATGACACAGCGCGTACTATTGACTGCACCAGCACCCCTCGCCTTCGGCCGCAATCATCGCCAGCGCAGGCGTGGGTTCGATCGACACTGCTGCCTTCCCCAACGGGACAGACCCCCCATCTCTTCACGCCTACAGACCGCCGCCGCAGCCTATCGGGCGGCCGCTCTCCTATCTCTACGGGAGTTCTTGAAACGGCGTTTCGCCGGGCCTCTGCAGCCAGTTGTCTTCGGGGTACCGAAACCCCTCCTTCCCCTCCACGACGTGTATCGAGTAGGCGTGTCTCGACTTCTCCGACGTGTTGGCCTCGCTGTAGTGGACGACGGAGTGATGGAGGAGGATCAGGGTGCCGGCTTTCACCTGAGGCGGGCGAGGTCACCGGCGGGAGAGCGAGAGGTCAGAGCGGAAGGGTCCGGGCGCCGCCGCTGCCGATTCGGTTGGCGTACACGCTCCGAAAAAACAAATCGGCGGTAAAGTGGCCGGGGTTTCGAGCGTTGATGAGCTCCCAACTCTCTTGGCTTCGTTCTTCACGAACAGTCTTGTCTCGCACGATCAACTGGGTACACCTAGGGACACACATACACCGCCGGTGTCAACACCACCAAGGACCGAAGAGCGCGAAAACGAAAACGACCGCATCGTATGGTACGGAAGAAAGGTGCACCCTAGAGCTGGTCATCCTGGCCGGATGAAAAGGCGGTTTCTCTCTACACGATGCAGCCCCCAAGTTTCGGACCCCAAGCCCAGGTCTTTCGTAGTGGCAATCGCCGACCCGACCAAAGATGGGTACTACTTAAACCTAGTCGCACTGCGCTGCTTTGTCCCTCACCTCCAACGGCACCGCCCCCTCGACGTCGAACGCCTCGGCCTCTGGCGGCTCGAACTCGCACCCCTCTCCCTAGTTTACATTCGTCACGTGAGCAGCCGAGCCGGGACAACAGAGCAAAATCGCCGCTATTGTGTTAGTCTGACGGAACACACGCAGCAAACAAAATGCGGTGTTGCCTATGCTCGTCTTGTGCTGTCGGCGGCCAGGTAGCAAGATCGACAGCTTCACGCCCTACAATGTCCCTGACTTCTCAAGCGCCGGATGCTTGACAGAATCGAGTGTCAGGGCCTTGCCGTCGACCATTTACAACAAAAAGTATCACCGTTGGAGATCGCTTGAACCGTCGTTTCACCACCCGGCGGTGAGAGCCTGGGACGGCCCAGAGACAACCGTTGGACAAGGTGCAGTCCTCCAGCGCCCACCAATAGCCCACCACAGATTGCGGCTCCTGAAAAAAAGGAGAAACACAGGTATAAGGGGGTGTCCCTTTGACCTTACGAACACGCCCATTTTTGGTTGAACGGTGTGCTCGGTAGCGCGTCCGGGTAAGGCTGCGCCGCAGCAGCAGACAGCGTGGCTTGAACCACCTTGAGCCCTTGCCAACAAGAATCGCTAATTTTTCCCCCATCGGTCAAGGGAAAGAAAATCCAGATTTGGCATGCAGCAGACGAGTGGTGCGGTACTTCCCATACACGAAAAAGGAACGCAGCAGTTAGTCCTTCAAACACTGTAAACTACATGGGACCATACCGTATAGAGAAACGCCCCGTCCTGGTGCGGCGTGACCTCTCCGCCAATCCGCGGCTGCTTGAAGATGTACATGGACTGCACCGCCAACGGCGTCGAAAGCCCCAGGTCGCGAGAAACCTGTGGTGTATTCGAACAGGGCGCGCGAGAACATGGCATCCAGCAAAGACAGTCAAAAGAATAGCCAAAGAAGACGTTCGAAGAATCTCCAAAAAGAATACCGCCTAATTGGTCGGCATGCTGTTGCTCGCACTATCGTTCAGGGCGAGGTGGTGTGTGGTTGGGGAGCGGAACTGGTGGTAAAACGGGAAGATCGTCATTGGTTGGGGATCCACTCCTCACCTGTCCGACTCGCTTCTCGTAGCTGTATTTCTTCATGACGGGATCCAAGTCGTGGAGGGCGTGTCCGATCTGCGAACAGTCACGCAACAGACATCGCTCAATCTACGCGGTGAGTTATTCGTATCGAGAGAAAGAAGGAAGTATGAATCACGCATTTGAAGACGGACGAACATCAGTCGGGGGTCGACACAACGAGAAACGGCGAGCTTGAGAACGGGGGCACACTCGACGAAGAATCTGTCGGCGCGAGTCTCTTGCACCCGCCCTTTCAATCAGGAGGAAAACACCTGAATGGAAACACAATCGTTTTTGGGTCAGGACTACAACAGGTGGGTTGAAAAACGAAAACAACATGGGAGCCCTACAAAAACCACTAAGTCGCTGCACCTTGTTGATGCTCTTCAACCGGTCGTGGACGAACTCCCCCTTGTCGTCGAAAGCGCCCGCCTCCCAGAAGAATCGGATCTTGACACAAGGTACACAAACACACACATGATGTGGCGTGCGTCAAGAGTCAGGGACAAATGTCGGTTGATCATACCCAAAAAAGGAGAGGCGTTTCGAAAAAACAATTTCAACACGGGTGAGGCGTTGGTCGGAAGATACCAATACAATACGTGTTGGTCTTTTGGGCCAGCCGGGCGCTACCGAAACAAAGTTCATTGTCTTGACGAGAGCACGGAAAGGCATTTCTGCGTGCGGGTCGGAAAGATGGATGTGGTAAAGGCAATAGCGACACCAAAGTCTCGCTTCTAGGTGGGATTTCTGTGCACAGCTTGGTGAAACTGCTACCACGGGTACACAGAGTTGTACTGTACTGTAGAGAGAACACACCTTGTCTCCGCTGCCGAGGAAGTACGCATCCTCTGCATGCTTGCTTTCGCTAGGGCGTTGCAAATGCCACGGGGCCGGAGAAGCAAATACGGACAAAAAATACACAAGGGAGGGTTGGAAAGGGGGCATCAGAGGTCAGGGACGGGCACGGACGAAAGTTCAGCGGCAGTCGGGGCGGGTGGGGAGGATATGCGGACGCGAAAATGCATTTGGTGTCGGGTAGTGTCAGCCAAGGCTTTGTGCAACTGTACGAAAGATCGGAGTGAACCAAGCAGGGAGCGGTACCCCATACGCCTGTGAAACAAGATGGGCCGCAAACGAAGGCAGCCCGGAGGCCAAGACAACATGGGCCCGTCGACCGGTAGCATCCACTCCAGTCGAGGGCCCTCTATAGTGCGGGTATGTACCAAACGCTTTCACCCGCACTCTATAATAGCGGGCACTTTTCAACGTCTCAACCATCTTGATTATTGCATCTGTGCCACCAAATTGCACCCGCACCGGGCACCGGCACTCAGAGGGGCCCCGACTGTACTCGGCAGCGCCGATACCTGTCACATAGTCACGACGTACGCGGTGCTGTATCGATGCGATTGCGAGTTAACAGTCCTTGTTCATGCTGTCAGAAAGCACAGACAAATTTGGCCTCTCTGCGTGCGTGCCCGTTCAAAGAGAAAGTTTTTTTCGCTGTTGTATCTGCCCGAAAGAAGACGTGGTTCTCACTCGGTGGAGAAGATAGTTCTGGCCTCGTCAAGATCCATGTCTTGCACGACCTGCTGTACCCGCTCCCTGATCTCTTCGCATTCCTGTTCAGGGAACCGGGGGGGGGGGGGGGGGGGGGGGGGGGGGGAGGAAAAAAAGGGGCCTACACCCGCCCCAAAATTCCCCGGGGGGGGGGGGGGAACCCGAAAGGTTTTTTGGGGGGAGGCAAAAAAAATTAACCCCCCAAGGGGGCCCGGGGTTTTACCGAGGGGGGGCCCCCCCCTAATTTTTTT